AACGTCCTCATTACAGGCGGATCTTCACCACCAGCTGGGCTGGCCAGGATTTCTGGGAGTCGCAGTCCGAGAACATCTGGGGAACCTTCCTTTCCCCTCAGACATTCAGTGTGTGGTTTTCTATTTCCTTTTCTTTTAAACATTATTGCAACTTTAAAAAAAATCTTAATGCAGACTTGATACTGTGTGACAGATACGCTGTTCTCAGGTAAACAGAAAAAAAAGGTTGCAGTTTTATTAATTGTGTTTACCTTTGTAAACTGCAGTTCCTCACTGAGTAGCTGAGAAGCATTTTGAAAAAGATAAATCAACCAACCTCTATAAAGTATCTTTTCACATTACTACTGGACTGACTTCCTCTTTTGCTAAGAGAACATAGTTTAAGCTGGATAGCTCAGTGATTTAGGTTCTGGCTGTGGAGCCAGAAGTTGGGAGTTCAAATCCCTCCACCGGGCCTCCTTGACGGGCTAGACTGGATGATCAAGAGGGTCCCTTCCAGCTCTGCCATTCTGATGACAGTGATTAAGTTTCAACCCCCTGGTCAGTTGGGCTTCCTTTGACAAGTGCACCTTTTCTAGTTCTTTAACTTCTTTTTTTTTTCTTCTTCTTTGTGTCAACCCCCAACTGTACACATTTACAGAAATTACAGCTACCCCGTGCACAACTTATTACCTGTACTGTATACTGCTTTTATGGTGCCTGCCCCTTGCCCAGAGAGAGATGGCCCCCAAGCCTGGGGGCCCAGATGTTTTTGGCACTTCAGCCAGCACAACCTGTGGTCCAGACATCAGAGAGCGGTAGATTTAAAGGCCCGAGTTTGAGAATTCCTCCCATCGATTTCCTGATCCTAAAAGCTATCCCATTCAACATCCCACCCCCCAACTTCATTGTGTTGTTCTGCTTCTTCCTGGTGCTTCTCCTTCCTTTGAATTGAGCATCAGGATACGGTCATACCTTTTATCAGGCCACCATAACTGTCATTTTAAAAAAAAAAAGCAGAACCCATTCATCGGACTGGAGGTAAAATCCTTGCTTTCTGAATGGAATTTTAGGATTCCAGAAAAAAAAGATATCTTACCCCCAGCCCTGATTTTGAATTTTGCTGATAGACTACATAGCTTTGTTTCCTTCTGGTTGGGTGGGGGCATCTCTAGATGCATCCCTTGAAATAGTTCCAGCTCCAGATGAATGTATGTGTGTGCTTTAATAAGATGCGTTGATTAGCAATCCTCTTTTCCTATCCAGATGGATTTTATTTATTTCTTTTCTTTCTCAGACTCAAGCGACTTCTCCCTGTGCTCTCTGTTTATAGGGCATGCATGGTGGGGGAAAAGTGGTTCTGATGTTTGAAATGAACATATTTGGTGTGTCTGTGTGTGTGCATGTTTTGCGGGTCCTCCGGGTGATGCCAGTGGCCTTTTTAATTTTTCCTTGCCCCAGTTTGAGGTGGGGCGCCCGGGTTCTGTTCACTTAGAAGACCTGAAGGCTTGGGTGTGGCTTCTCTTTCTATATTAAGTTTTTGGGCGGACGCCAGCCACGTTAACTGCTGTGGTGACCATTTTAAAGCCTTGATGTTGTGCCGTCCACAAAGGCCGGGAAATTGGGGTTTTTTTAAAAAAAAGCTCTTGTTTTCTGTGGAAATCTAGGATTCTGGCGTGGTTTGGATTCCCCTTTGCTGTCAAAGCTAGGAAGTGATGTCTTTGCCGGTGACGTGGAGTGGCAGCATAAGATGAGTAAAAAGACTCAGAATAGCCTTTTTCTTGCAGACCGTGTGGGTCTGGGCCATGGAGTTCATTTTTAACCATTCCTGTGCCCCCTACCCCGGAGGAGCCTGGGGCATAAAAACCGGGACCCATTCCTAACAGAGTTGCTCACCCCTTTATCTTAAGCCATCTGGGTCTAAAGCCCAGACGGGTCTTGTGGTTAGAATGGCCTTGACCATAGCAGAACAACAAATCCCATCTGTCATGGCCAGCAGAGTTGATGGGGTTTGTAGTGAAACCATACAAGGAGAGGGTTAGGTTCCAGAATATATGTTATCCTGCTCTCGGCCTCTCCAAACTGATGGGAGCCTTTGGTTTTCTCTCTCTTGGCATAGGCGGCCTAGATGGGTCAGCGGTCTTGATTTTAGGGTCAGGCATGGAGTTCCACAGGCTCATACCCAATTGATATTATTTGCGAGAAGTCTTTGTAGAATCCCTGAGGCTTTGTCCATATTTCTGATTCCCCCCCTTATTTGTGGGGTTCCCCAGAGGCTGTATTGAAAAAGTTTAGTGAGAAGGTGCTAGAGCGGGTGTGCTCCGTTGGCCTAGCCTTCGAGGAGCTAACATTGCTTCCTCATCAACGGTGCGGCACCAGAGTAAGGACTTCATGGATGATGCCTCCCGTATCAAGGGCGGTAGGGGCCTTGTTGGGTTTTGTACTTTTGGGCGGCCTGTTTTCCTCTCTGCGAATTTTTCCGGCCCTCTTCCAAAAAAGTAACCAGGGGAGGGACCGTAGCTACATCTAGTGGCAGGCAGTTCCGCCGCTCAACCGTGGGCAGCCTTCGGAAGCCCTTCTTGTTACACCTCCTGAATCTTTTGAATCTTTCCCCCCATGGCATTCTGAAAATTATCCTTTTTCTTCTTACAGTGTCCTGATTTCTTACAGTTTCACCCTGCCCCTCTGCTTTTACCCACTTCCCCCCCAAACGTGAGTTACTTCCAGCCCCTTGACCCGTTTCTCCACCTCGTCCGTTACTCTTAACATTATCCTCTGGGGAGAATCGCTGCCAGGCTTAATTCAGCGCTGCCTCCCCACCCATTTCCCTGTCCCTGTCGTGGTAGAGATCTCCCCTCATCCACTGGCCGGCTGCCGCGTGTCCCATTTCCAAACCCTCTTTTTATTTTGTTTTGTTTTTTTGCACCAGAATCTGCTTTCCTTCGTGCCTTGGCAGGCACTTCTCCAGCGCGTAAAGCGGTCCAGCATAGAAGTGTTGGTGGAGGCACAGAGGTTGGAGGGGGGGGGGAGACTTATCTTCCTTGCAAAACCCTGCGTCTTTGAACACAATCCTCTCTCTCTCTCTCTCTCTTTTCTCGTCCTAAGGTCATTCCACCAACTGCTCCGGAAGCGTAAACCAGCTTAGAGGGGCAAAAGCCTTCCTTCTTTTATTGGCTCACTTAGAGGAGGAAGCTCTGTCTCTCTCTCTCTCTCTCTCTCATTCTCCCTCCCTGAGTTTTCTTTCCTTTTTTTTTCTTTTTTTTTTTCTTTTCTTTTCTGGAACGCCCACTGGGGGGAAAAAAAACTGCTTCCAGTCTCCGATGTGACACTTGAAGGCATAGGTAACCGTCGGGGCGCCAGCTTGGTGGGAACGGATTTCTTGAGAGGTCAAAATGTGAGTGATTCACAGAGCATAATAGTTTCAAGTTCCCCCAGATTAACCCACCCCCGTTTTTTTAATCAACCAGCACTTATACTCTCTCTCTCTCTCTCTCTGTCTCTGAGTTCACCCAGGCTTCTGTGCCGGGAAGAGGAGGGGACATGACAAAAGTGGGGCAGGGCCTGGCTCGGCTTGTAATTTCCTTTTTCGTAAGCCGCAGCATGGGAGCAAAGAGGAGGAAGGAACCCCAGAGTTGAAAAGGCTGGACTTGTGTGTGTTTTTTTTTTCTTTTATTATTATTTTTTTGCAAAGACGCCACTTTTTTTGTCGCCTTCGAATCCTTGGCGGTCTTGGGAATGGCTTTCCTTTTTCCTTAATTAAAAAGAAACCCACCCACCCCCAAACAACAGCCAAGAACAGAGTGGCTGAAGATTTTTGTCTCTCCCCCCACCCCCACCCCCGTGTACCTTTCCAAAATGGTGACTTTGTTTTCATACGCTTGTACTTTTTAGGGGCTCAGTGGTTCGTTAGGGGCAAGGTAGAGTTTTAATGTTTTTTTAAGTCCTTTACAGAGCGTGGCAGAGGCTCTGGTGGGGGAACCGCTGACTAAGACAAGCAGGGTAAAGCATATTTAATAAAACAATCCAGGACCTGCCTTCTTGCTGTTACTGTTAGTTGACAGGAACACTTGCCACAAGTTGGCTTGCTTTGCAAAATTCTGTTTGGTTTGGTTTCTCCTTATCACTGCGTGGAGGGGAGGGGAAAGAACCTGGACTTGAGGGGGTGGTGTTCTCCCTCCCACCTTTAAAAAAAAAACTTTCTCCACCACAAGCTTGTAGGATTTTGGTATTCGTTTCTATCTACGATTTTTCAGACTTATCCGTGGACCGTGACAATCCAGGAACCTCCTTTCCCTCCCAGCCCCCCTTGTAAAAATGAAACTGAAGGTTTGCAGAATGTTGGATGCCTCTGTACAAAATGTGTATATTGCAGGCTTGATTGTGGGAGATCAGCCCTTGGTGTGGTTTTAATTAGCAATGATCCCATTGTTACAAATGGATCGTGCCTTCTGGATCTCTCTCTCTTTCTCTCTGTTACACTTAGAGCAATTAATTTTCTTGTTACTGACTCCCTGGGTTGTCTGATCAGACTCTGGAGTTTCAGGAAAGGAAGGGCTTCTCCCCTCCTTTCTTAATTTGAAATCCTTAAGATGTTGATGATGATACCAATACCATGAAATTTCACACACTGCTATAAGCAATTGCTGATCTCAGAAATAATACGATCAGTGGTACAAAAAACAGCAGTATTAGGAGCAGCATACATACTGCACTGATATTTAACAGATACTTTGGTGTTAGGTTATAACTTGTATCTGTTATTTTACACACACACACACACATGTGAACTTGCTTGGTTGCTTGCTTACTGACTTATATACTGGCAAGGGAGAGAGAGATGCATGCAAAGCATCATGAACCTGTGGAACCCTGTGCCACAAGATGTATGGAAAGGCACCAGTCCTTGGAAGGGGAACAATACTCTCTTAATTGACAGGCTCAGCTAGGAAAGGATGCTGTTGTAGCTTTTTGTTTGCTGATCAAGCGTTTCTCACCACTGGGTTTGAATCTCTGCCTCCTAGATATCTTACTCCTTGGATCCACCACCCCTGCCGAGGTGACGGAGAAGACGCGTCTTCAGAACCCATGAACGTCTGGGACAGGTAGGCACCCTCTCCAGTCAGCTTGTTTTATTTTTAGCAAGCCCACGCAGGAGCATATATAACCAGTATACCCACTGAACAAAGATTTTTGTGGGGGTTTTTTTGTCCCCCTTATCTGGAGGTTGCTCAGAAACACTTGACCGGTCACTCAGGAAGTCAAGATGCTCACCTAGAGGAATCTCAGAGTATAATTTTGTTTTATTTAATTTCTGTTTCATCCTTCAATTAAATAAATAAATAAATGAATAAATTCCCCGGGCAGGCGATAATTGTATTCGAAATGAACAGCGCAGTAGTATTAAAATTGAATTATAAGGCCTAAATCTCATGGGGCCCTCAGCGTTGCTTCGAGATTTGCCCAGGAAGCCAATGTTGAGTGACTTTGAACCCCACTGGAACAGATTTTGGGGTACACAGGAGGCTGTAGACCAGAAGAGGAGTCCCACCACCACCACCCCCAGTCATCTTCTCTACACTGGCATCTGCTCTTACATGAGTGGAAGGCTAGCAGTGGGTCGAACCCTAAAGGCTGAATCTGGTCACAGATCATGGGGTTGGAAGGGGTCTTCTTCTTAACGCCATCCAGTCCAACCCCCTTCTCAAGGCAGGAAACCGAAGTCAAAGCAGATCAGATAGAGGGTGGACCAGATCCCTCTTGAATGCCTCCAGCTGAGGAACGCTCGAAAGCCCCATTGACCCAGTGGGGTTTACGCAAGTGTAGATTTAACACGTCCCATCGGATCGCCCTCTTCATAGACCCAGATAACAACAGACTGAGCTCTCCTATTACAAAAAAAAGGTGAAAAGAAATAACAGTATCGAAGTAGTGACAACGCTGACCCTGGGCATACCTTTCAGGGAAGGTCGTTCGCAAGGTTCAACAGGTAGAGCTCTGGCCTCTTCTGTGTCACTACCTGGCATGGGTCGGTCTGTCCCAAAGAGGCCTCTCCCCGTAGTCCTTTGTTTTTCGCTGAAATAATCCGAAATGGTCTGGAGACGGAAGACTGTCTGCCCCTACCAACCCCACTTGGTCGCTTTGCTCCTCCTTCGGCTTAAGTTACCTTTTGTGAGTCTGGGTGTTTTTGGGGGGGCGAGGATCGAGGGGAGGGCCCTTTCTCCCTGCTTTCGTTACAAAACCAGGAGTCCTGGAGTTTTCCAGGCACCGGAAGGGATACAGTTCTCTTTAGATCGAGCATGAACCTTTAAAAAAGAAAATTCCCATCACCGTTTCTTGGTATGTCTTGAGTGCGAAATGAGGGGTTTCAGCAGCAAGCCAAGCTCAACCTGCTCATGCATGATGGTTGGTTGAGGGGGGGGGAGAGGGGGTGGTTTGGTGTTGGCTGAAAAGGTGGCCTCCAGAGATCTCCTCCTCCATGCCCTTTCCGTCCCAAGACAGATCTGCCACCGTTGGTGGGTCGCCTTTCATCGGCCCAAGCTCCCTCGCAGGAGCGTTGTGAGAATAAAACGGATTTGGCCCAAGGGAAGGTAGGAACCTCAGCCAGCCGCTCCTTGGCTAGAAGGCTGTGCGATGCAAGTTGTAATCTAACCCGTCCAAGACAGCGATTTGTCTGGTGTAGTCTTCGGCTGTCAACCCTAGGTGTGCCCAAGGATCCGAAGACTAGGGAGGGCACTCTGTGCATACTCAGAAGCAGTTCCTTTAGCCAGGTCTGGATAATAAATTCAGCCAGGTGTTGGGACCTTCCAGAGGTACAGATTCAGATTTTTTTTCCCCCCAAGCAGGTTTTCAGGATCTGAAATTTTTCCAGGTGTGTGTGTGTTTGTTGCACCCGGGAAAATGACACCTCCCGTGTTCTCCAGCCCGCGTGGGCCGAGTGGTGCCAGAGAACAGAGCGAACAGCATCCTGCTGCAGGAACGAAGAAGCAGGGGCTGGATTTAGGACCCCTTTTGGTTTTCTCTGAAGGGGGACCGGAATGCCCAATCTCCTCCTGTCGGGGGGGGGAGGCTTTCTACTCTAGTGTAAGAGAACAGTTTTGCAAGGGAAGGGGCAAAACCTTGTAAACTACCACACACACACACACACACACACACACCATTTAGGAGGCTGTCCCCAGTGAGTCTAGGATGCGTTTTGTGGCACATTCCAGCACATGCTATCTGTTAGCTTAAAAAAATTAAAAGACTGATTTTTCTAGCATTAAATACTTTGGAGAATGAAGGTTCATTTGACCCTCTCTGAAATTAACATGTATTTAAAATGCCCCCCCTCTTGTTTCTACCTTTTTCACGCTGCATGCCTTCTTAGCTTTATATCTACTTTTATTTTATTTTTTAATTGCATTCGTTTAAAACATTTGAAATGCATCTCCGGTCTTCCATCATCCTCATCACCTTTTTTTTCTTTTGTCCAAACGGGGAATAAGTTTCTTAAAAATTGATCCTCTCTCCCCGCACAAAACACACAGACTCTCACTTCAATAAAGAAAAACCCAATAAAGTTCAGATTTTCTCTTCTCTTGCTGTCTCCCTCCCCCCCCCGCCCCAGGGCTGTGACTGACAGCGAGGGGGAGTGTGGCACGTAAAGGGTTAAGGTCTGCCATTTTGTTATGTAACACCCTTAATGGACATATCAGGGAATGGCACAAAGATGGCAGGATTTAACCCTTTGTGAGCTGCAGTCCAGGGCCTCACAGCCCGGTTTATCAAGGATTTTCCCCCTCCTTTTTAAATCTTTGCATTTTCCTACTAATCTTCAAAATGCAATTTTATGCACTTTGGGAGAGGGTCACCCTAAACTCTTCCAATCTCCATCCTGATTTCTTCGCCATCATCCCCACCCACCAACACATTTTTTTTATTTTTATGTTGTTGTTATTGCTCAGCTTATTAATACTTCCTTAGACACACACACATGTTTTAACAACCTCCCCCCCAATTTAAATGCTGCTTTGTCACTTTTAAATGGAATACTTCTAGTTAAGCTTGTATTGAAGCCATCTCCTATTTTAAAAAAAGGGAAAGGAAATAATCACCATTGCCTTCTTAGAACTGGCAGAGCTGGAAAGGGGCCCTGTGGATCATCCAGTCCTGCCCGTGTTAGGGAGGCCCAAGCAGGAATTGAACTCCCAACGTCTGGCTCCACAGCCAGAGACCTCAGCCCCTGAGCTATCTATCTGCAGAATGGCTGAGCTGGAAGGGACCTCTAAAGATCATCCAGTCCAACCCTGGTCAAGGAGGCCCAGCAGAGGATTCAAACTCCCAACCTCTGACTCCGCAGCCAGAGACATGAACCCTTGAGCATTCCAGCCAGTATTGGAGCCAGCGCCCTGGGGCCAGGCAGACATGGCCAGACTACCTCTCCCATGAGCCCCAGGCCGTGTGTAGCCAGTGATGATAGATGATGGGAGTTGTAGTGAAAATCCTGTGAGTTTCACACGGCCCATTTTACCAAGAAAGATTCCCTTCCTGGGGTAACCGCCGTAACACCTGAGGCCATGGTGACATTGCTCTAGAAATATTTGATTGTCATCGTATTTCTTTTTAATTCCGTGCCTTAAGCTGGAATTCCTCTGACTTTTTCTTCTTCTTCTTCTTCTTCCTATAATTTCCCTACAGTGGTGAAACCAAGCGTTAATTGTGCCCCCCACAAGAGCCTCCTTCCTTCCTCCTTGCCTGTTTTTCAAGCAGGAAGTGGTTCAGTCAAAATGTAGTAGGCTTCTATCACAGACACCCATGTTGGAAAAGATACAGCCTGAATTATACCAGGTTTGTCTTATTTCCTTTAGATGATGACGGGCGGGGTCACTTCGTTTCCGGAGAGGGAAAAGGGAGGTGGGTGTTTGAATATTGTTCCGCATCTTTTTTGACTCCCCCTCTATATATATATAATATAAAATACTTGAAAGGCAATGGTGTTTTAAAAAAAGTGAGGTTGATCGCCTGTGGCGAGTTGAGAATTGCACCCAGGTAACTAGCCGGATATGTTTTAATGAACTTTATTTATTTATTTTATTTATTTATTTAACTTATGTGCCGCCCACACTACCTGAAGGTCTCTTGCAGGAAGAGCGCTGCTTTCTCGAGGCAGCCCTGTCTATTATATTAATAATTGCTTTCCAGGATTGAATTTGGGTTTCCAAAGTATTGATTATTTATTTCACTTGTTCAGAATACTTGTAATCTCTCCTCCTTAAAAAAAAGGACCTGACACACTTCTTGCATGCGTTAAGAATGCTAGAGCCAATGTCTGTCCATCACTTATTCCCTCCCCCCCCCCCCGGGNATCATTTCAGAGATGTGTTGACTTAGAAACATGAAGGGCAATAAATAAATAAATATCATAATTCTCATTTGGAATGTGGGAGAGGACAGACTGTTAATTACTCCTGTCCCTTTTGTTTTTCTCATGAGAAGGGTTTGAAAGAGCAAGCATGAGATTTATTTATTTTTTTCAGAAGGAATCATTTTAAAAAAGAGAGAGAGAGAAAGAGAGAAACCAATGGTGAAGAAAAGATTCCAGAGAGCGAGCAGTCTTAGTTCTGTTCTAGCGGTAACAAAAAGCAAAGGGTAGTTACATGATGGTTAGAAATGAAGCCTGGGGAACCCTTCCTGTCGTTCCCTCAAATCAACAAAGCGGCATTCTAGTCCTCAGCGTGCTTTCTTGGAAGAGGCACTGTGCTTACAGGAAAGTTCCACTCTTTTTAGGAAGTGGTTTCCCAACTCCTGTTTTCTTGAACGGACCAAGCCTTGTCCCAGTTCGGGGTGGGCGCCGTTTTAAGAGGATGATGAAAAAAACACTTTAAACCGCTTCAAATTCGTGCACCCGGCTGGAAACCTGGAAGGCCCATCAGAGAAGCATCTCTCTCCCTGCGTCCCTTCCTGGTGCCGCTTCCTCTATAGGGGCTGTTGGTTTTGGAGGGGGGGATTGTTTTGGAAAAGCCGTTTCACCCTCTTCCCTCCGAAACACCCTAGACATATAGGGCAGCTCCATTAGGCAGGCGGCCCAAGTTTTCTCTGGGGGGTGTCAACTTTTCCAGTGCCGAGATCATGTGGATCATCCCAACCATTTATGCATTAAAAATGCATTGTAAACGCAGCCATGTTTCAGATCCTCCCCTCCTCAAACTGATCTATAGAGGAAGTTAAATTTTATTTACTTACTCTTCCGCCTGCGCCCCCCCTCCCTTTATTTTTTTACCCTCCCTTCTCATGACCTATTTTCTCGGGCTTATCCTGTTTGGCCTCTTTTCTCTCTGGTTCTCACCAGGAAAATATATATATATTTGGCCCCTTCTGCCAGTTTTCTGAGCAGCTTGCAGGGATCTGGGGGTGGGGGGGGGGCCTTTGTTGGTGGGGTGGGATTCTGACGCCTGCTGTCCTTTTAAAGGAGCAGAGAGGGCCAGGTGTTCAGAGGACCCGCTCTGTGCTGGAACGCCAGCTGGAGTCTCTCCCCCTCCCCAGATGCCGAAGCATCATTGGCCATAATGTCATGGTGTGGCCAGGCGCGGTGTGTGTGCGTGCGCGCGCACGCACGAGTCCCTCCGCGAGGGTTAACAACGCTTAGCTTGTTGTCTGGAACCAGTTCAGACCGGTTTTCTGGAAAGGGCTTTGTCTCTCCCACTGAATCCTGGGAAAAGGGGTCATGTGTAGATCCAGTGATGTCATGGGATCACAAACTGACTCAGCTCTTTTCTCTTTACACACACACACACATACCTTCCTTCCTTACAGACACACATACACACACACACACACACCCCTTCCTTCCTTACACACACACTCAGATATATGTGCATGTGTGTCTTGCAGGTACAACAGGCAAATTGCTGGGCCCCCGAGCAGTCCCTCATCCCAGAAGACCCCCCAACTTTTATTCCAAAAAAGAGAGAGAGAGAGAAAAGCCAGCCTCACAGACTTCCATGTGACTCCCCAGAGCTGTTAAGGCACTTCCTGTGCATTAAAAAAAAAAACAAAGAGAGAGAAGGGGTCGAGCAGTGGGGCTTCTCCTGCCCTGTCTGGTCTCCCTTTCCTCCTTTCAGGCGCCCGGGTCCCTTCTCGCGAGCCCAACCAGCCTCTTTGGGAGCTTTATCTTCTTTGCCAAGAGTTTAAAGAGGAAAGGTGCTCTGCCTGCCTCAAAACCTTCAGCCAGAAGGCCTAACTCTGCCTTCTCATCATTAGGACATTTCAAAAGGAACTTTTAAAAACTCCCAGGCGCGGTGAAGGAGGTGTCTCGATTTTCTCCAGGGTGGTTCTAAGAGAAAGCAAGCTCACCTGGGGGGGAGGGGTTACTCATGGGCCTAGAGCAGTTCTACAGAGGCTACAAACTCCATTTTTTGAGAGTGTTATTAAAGCGAGTTATCTTAAATGCCCTCCCCCAGTGTTTTTAGCTTTTTACTGGGGGAGGCCTTTGCCTTTGGATGTTCAGGTTGCTTCTTGAGACAGTGACATATCGCTTGATCCCAACTTTTTTTAGGAAGTTGGCGCAGGCTTTTGAGAAAAAAGAAAATACAGTCCTGTGATTTGGGGTACCTGGATAACTTAATCGGCCGTATGCCTTTTCCTCCCCCCTTCTTGTGTGACTTTTCTCAGAGCACCATAATGACGGAGGAAGCGTGCAGGACGCGAAGTCAGAAGCGGGCGCTCGAGCGGGAGGTGATCCAGAACGACGTGGATTGTAAAAAGATGAAGATGGATAAAGGACTGCTGGGGGGCTCTGAGACCAACGCCGAGGGCGGAGGGGACCTTAAGATAAAGACTGACTCAGGACCGGGGAGAGTCCCAGAATTATTAAAAAGCGGGGAGATGAAAGCGACTATCAAAGTGGAAGTGCAGACGGGAGACAAGCCGGTCGATATGAGCACCTCAAAAAGGTAAGTGCCCCCCGTCCCCCAAAAAATAAGTAGCCAGTGGGATGATTTTGATGATCTTAAGCAGGTTGCTGTGTTAAAATAGCAAAAGGCCTGTAGCTCTTTCACGCTGAATAAGGGAAACGTTCTGTGGATTTGAGGGATTCTGTGGCTTTGGGCCCTAACCAGTTGTCCTAATTTCTGAGGTGGCCCGGCGGTCTTGTATTCAGAAGCCAAAGGAAACAGGTCTCTATAGGATGTGCCTGTGGAACTCCCTGCCTCATGAGTCAGGAAGGGCACCTGTTGGTTTAAGTGGCTTTTAATGATGTGTTCAAGTCAAGGAGGTAATGTCGGAAGTGTCCTTCTAAAGTCAACCGAGGAATTAGCTAATGACTTGCCTTAATTACAACAGCAGTGCGACAGATTAATGCACAGCCTAGTCTGGAGGGAGTCCCGGCTTTGTCAGAGAAGCAGGATTAAAGTCAAGAATGTACATGCATGCCTTTGATCCCTGCACAGGGGCTAGATTTTTGCCAGCATCCGACCCCTCAATATGGAGGCTTTCTTTAGCACCGAAGGTGTAAGTGGTTGAGGGGTTGGGCCGAGACCCAGAACTTTTGGATTTGAGTTTCTAGTGAGCTGTGAAATTCACTCTGTGCCCTGGGGCCAGTCTCTCTCCTCAGCTTGACAAGACCTCACGAGGGGTTTTATAACAGAATTGAGGGCAGAAAGTTTTACTCAGGTGTAGCAACAGAATACAGTGAGCGGTTGAGGCATCTGGCTGCAGAGCCAGAGTTCGAATCCCCCCCCAAACTGGGCCTCGTTGACAGGGGCTGGACTTCATGATCCAGAGGTTCCCTTCCAACTCTGCTCGTCTAAGATGATGATAAGATCGTGATGATAAAAAGGTACCGCCTACGTGCGTGTGCGTGCGCGCGCGCAACCTAGGAGGTTGCACAGATAAAATGCCCAACAGTTGCTAAGCACCCATGGAAAATTTTATTTTAATTCTTTTCCCTATTTGTGTCCTGACTTTCCTCCCTCCAAGTCCTAAACCGCTGTCTTCTCCCAGATCTTTGATTCCTCTAGGCCAGTTTCGGCAACTCAGGCCTTGCCAGAGATGTTGTGCCGGCATCTTTTCCTAGTCATCCCTTGAAACCTTTGACCTTTCCCTGGTTAGAACCACATCCCAAGTTCTAACCGGGCATTCCAAAATTGGACAAGTTAAGGTGTGAATTGAAATAATAATAATCATAATAATAATTACCCTGGAATGTGAAATGAGATTCATTTCACCAACCTGCTTTTCTGGGAAGGCAAGTTAGGTTGATGAAGAGAGAGTTAACCCCCCACACGCACACACCTGGCCCTCCAGGTATAACTCAACATGCAGTTTTAGGCTGTTCCTCGCACTAGTATTTTTATTTATTTAATTCCCAGGGAATCGGGCACACCTCCATGCTTTTTCCCCCTTCCAGAATTTCTTCACTGGCTCTTTTTGTTTCTTTTCTTTCTTTGTTTAATTGCAATGGGTTTTCTCCTTGGTTGGCCTTCCTTTCTGTGACAAAACCCGCTTCCTTCCGGGCAGAAACATTTTGCCGGACGCTTTAAAACAAACTTCTATAACCAAAAAAAAGTATGTTTTGAAAAGACAGCATGCATAACATCCACAGCTGTGTGTATTGATTTGGAGTGTGGAGGGAGAGAGTAGCGAGCACCATCCAGTTTGGGAGCCAATCCCAAAGGCAGAGTTTTGCAACCTCTGGAAGGCGAAAAAGTTTTACCTGGCGTAGGATTTCGGAGACAAAGCTGGGCTGCCGTCTGGGAAAGCAACGGGATGGGTTTCATTGCCGACTTCTACCCTTCTAAGGTCTTAACATCCTGACCTGATTGATCAGGGGTTGGAAATTGACATTATTCATTGTGATGGCAAACCCCGGTCAGTCAGGGGGCATGGCCAGTTGGAGGGAGGATATATAAGCCCTTTAAAAGTAATAAATGCCATCTCTTTAAGAGGAGAGGTCACCATTTTCAACCCTAAGCGTTCCCCAGGTTGTGTGAACTCTGCAGTTTTGCACTATGGCTGTCCAGTTACACGAGATGCGGATCATTGCACCCTTGGGTTGCATTCAGGAGACCAAAAGAAAAAAAGCATGCGAGGCGGCGTTCGAACCCTCTTTTCCATCTTTGAGTGAGTTCACACACACACACACCATGCTGTAAAAGCAATCCTTCTGGCTGTAAAAGTGACAGAGGAAGTAACTCTGGTGCAGGGACCACTGTAATGGAACTCAGTTACACCCTAGTTATACCTCTTGGGTTTTCCTTTTGGTTTTCATTCTTGGTTTTCAGCGCTGAGGTTGCCCTGTGGCCCTCTAAGTTGCTCCTACGCCCGGAGAGAGATTTCAAACGGAAGGGGGGGAGGCAGAGGCTTAAGGAGAGGCTTCCCACGGCCACTTCCAGGACTGATTCGAACCCAGGATTCTGGAATCCCTAGTACGATCCAGGAGCCCCGTTGTGTTTTTTGGAAGCGGGCTTTGAATCTCCCTGAGAGACGTTGCGTCTGAAGGTTGCTCAGCCTTGTTCGGGAGACCCTTTTTCCTCTCCCTTGTGAAGTTTGCTTGATTCGCTGAAAGTTTTCTTCGTTTTGAGCCTCTGTATCCCTTGGCTTTCTCGTCTCTCGTGTCCATTTTCTTTCTTGCACCTCCTTCCTTCCTTGCTTCCTCCCTCTTCCTCCCCCCCGCCACTTCCCTCCCCACTCCACAAAATGAAAGCCCCCCCCCAAACCAGTTCCAGCCGGCTGGTTGCCATGGCTTTCCCACCGAAGGGGTGGGGGTGGGCGGTGGGAAGGAATGGTTCGAAGGGTCATGTGACCCATGGTGAGGCATGCCTCTCCTGGTGGGTCACGTGGTCACGTGATGCCACCTCTCCAAGCTTACAGGAAGTTTAGCCGGTTAGGATGATGGCGATGGAGGCCCTTCCCCTTTTCTCCAGCTTGTGCATTTGTATAGCAGGTTAGAAACCGGGGGATCCTTTCTCCGTGAATGTAGGAGACGTGAGATCCAGGCCAGGAGGCCTGTGGGGTACTCTGCCTGGAGAAACAGGTGCCACCTATGCTAAAGCCTCTTTGACTCCAAAGTTAAGGAAAGATGCTAGTCCTCAAGTTTTTTTAAATCAGTCTAGGGCTGGTCAGGCAGTTCTCGAGAGCAAGGCCTGATAGTCTGAACCCAGCAGGAGAAGACCTTGCTTTTCTAGGGTTTTAAGCAGGGGGTCTTTCCCTGCCTTGGAGTTCCCGGCAATTGGGAAGCGCAGGTTGTGCCACCGAGTTACAGCCCAAGAGAGATTCTAGTCCTCAAGCCTTTTTGAGCAGAGGCAGAAACAGAAGCTGAGTCAGACCTTTGGTTCCTTACCTGCACATCAGACAACACCAGCTCTTCAAGATTTCAGGAAGGAGGTGTTTGCAGGTCTCCCGGCCATATCTGGAGACGCCTGGGATTGATCCTGACCTCTTCAGCATGAAAGGGGCTTTCCCCCCTCTCCCTTTCGGACTCTCCCCCCGCCCCCGCAGCTAATCTGAAATGTACCACTTGCTTCCAAATGCCACCCATGGCTGTAAAACCTTCCCCTTTCCACATATTTGAAGCCCAGGTGGTTTTCAAGCAACGCAAGACTTTTGCACCTTCCTTCAGAAAAACAGGCTGTGAAACCTAACTTGGCCTGCTTGGGTCAAAGGGAAAATGCAGGGTTTCCCAAGTTTGATTTGATCTTGGTGGGTTTTTTTTTGTTTATTTGTTTGTTTGTTTTTTAAAGTTCAGGA